GACCATGGACCCGAACGGCGCCGCAAAAATGTTCGCTCGACCACCAAAGCACGACTCGCCCGTCCCTCGCAAACTGGAAACCACCCTAAGCGTGTGGAGAGACTCCCTCGTAACTCGAGTATAAGGTCCCGAAACCCACGCCCTGAACGTCGCCTTCGTCGACTGCAAGGGGGCTGCTAAGCACGTAGGCCCCTATCACAGTGCAAACGGGACTCCGAACCGCCAACCACCGACTGTTTGGCACATCCAGAGGGTGCTCACCGAGCCATCTGCCGAGGGACCTGCACATGTCCCTTTCCAGCAAGCAAACTGAACAGACCCCCATGGCGATGTCCCCCTCAGGACCTCATCCCTTTTCGCTCTCAATAAGATGCCTCTGGACCTTCGATCCTGGGAGACCCCCTTTTCTCGGGGCCGTTCCTACGCCCGAGTGGCAGTGCGAGGTATCTGCTGCCCCCACAAAATTTGACACCTCAAAAGTCCGTCCCGTCTCCGTCCCTTCGACACACAAAGGGATTAGGGGAAGGGCCGGGGGAAAAAAATAAATACATTGAAAAAGAAAAAAAAAGAGGGACGAAACAAACAAAGAAAAGGCCAAGCAGCTTCTGTGCCTAGCAACTCAGATCACGCCACGGTGTGGGAGTGAAAAGTTTACGGGAAGTCTGGCAGAATCGTGCGTCCGCTGTGGTGTTATGTGTTGGCGAACATGACCGGACACGCACTCCAGAAAGAGAAGGGGGGAAAGAAAAGTCAAGGATGACTTGACAAAATCGTCATTTCAATTTGTTTCGGCCCCGAAAAAAACTGTATCCGGCAGAAGAAGCGAGGCCGAAATCCCGACGCCCATAAGCATTTTCGTGCATGTCTCGGAGAACACCATGGAGCCAATTAGGTACCGCCCCCAGTGAAGCAGGCCGCCATGATCACTCGCACGAGCAGGGAGGGCCGGATAGGGCAGGAAGTGGGCCGTTTGCCCCCGCCATGAACATCATTTGGCGAGGGGGGGGTGGCACAAAGGGCAGGAAGTGGCCTCTCTGTTCCCAAAGCTGGGGGGCGCGCAGCCCCACCAAGATCATGACTACGCAGTCGCGTGGGGAGGGCCACGTAGGGCAAAAAGTGGGTATTTTGTTCCCAAGCCATACACATGGGGAGCGCCAGATAGGGTGAGAATTGGCTTTCCAGGTCCGAAACACCAGGGGCATGATTCGCGCTATCCCCACGACGATGACGCTTGTACGCAGGGGGGGGCAGACGCCCTCCGTTTCTGCCCCTTGACTAAAAATATTCCGTTAAATTGATTGAGTACTTGCTTGAGCAAACTTTTATCTACACAATGAGAAGATTCAAAATGTTATTTTCATCATAAAAGAAAGGTGTATCCAATAGGAGAAAAAAAAAAAAAAAAAAAAGTCATATACATAATATTATAGACGTATGTACATAGTACACGTTTCCATTTTGTTTGAATACTTGAAGAATAGCTTTTTTTTTTGTTTTTACTGAAACAAACGTCGCCCGCCACATCGTAAGTGTACAATGTGGCACTCACGTCGATCCAGCCTTTGGGCCCATGTCTCCGTGCAGCCAAAACTGGCAGGCCGTATGGGGCGACATCGGACAATGTGGTATGTACAAACGCCCACCGGATCAAGTACAGGAAGACACGCGCACACATATCCATGCTTTCGGACAGATGGAGGCCGCAGTGGCGAGAAGCTTACAACGTGGCACCCACCCCAACATGGGCTTGGGCACAGTTCTCCTTTGAGCCGAAAGTCGAGCACCACATCGGGCAAAAAGGGCTTCAGACGGAAGCAGCAAAACTGAAAAAAAAAAAAAAAAAAAAAGCAAGCAGCTCATCGGCCCTTATAGAAGGGCGACGATTCTCTTTAGACGTGGATGACCGTCGTTCACACATTTGAGGAGGGGTGGGGAGCCAGAAGGTGGGGGAAACCTTTGGAACAAAGGGCCGAATCTGAACAGATTGTGACGACAAGGCCACTCTACTGCTTACAACACCATGTTCCCTGTCTAAGTCGTCTACAAAGGGTTTGAGTCCCCGAACGAAAGAAATTGCGATGAAGAGACCCCCAGGGCGTCGGTGCTCCGCCGTAGGAGGGACAACTCCGAACGTATGCTTTCGGGCCCAGGCCGCCTGGCCCTATCGACAGCCTTGTCTCATCCGAGGAGGCATACGCCATCGCTGCAAGCACAGATTCTDACTTAGAGGCGTTCAGTCATAATCCCACGCACGGTAGCTTTGCACCGCTGGCTTTTCAGCCAAGCCCAATTGCCAATTGTACGAACCAACGGTTCCTCTCGTACTGGGTTGGATTACCATTGCGACGGCGGTGCATCAATAGGTTAAGACTAACCTGTCTCACGACGGTCTAAACCCAGTTCACGTTCCCTGTTGGTGGGTGAACAATCCAACACTTGGTGAATTCTGCTTCACAATGAT